TCTTACAATCAGCTAAATAATTTAAATAGTTCCATAATATATGGCACAATGAAAAGGTCATTTATTTTATAAAAAAGACAGTTAGTTTTTATTTTAGTGAAAAATAAGAAAATTCTATTTTGATACAACAACCATATTATATTTATTAATACCTATACTTTATTAATTTTGTGTTAATGCTTTTTAAATAAACACCCACACATTATTTCTGTATAACCTACAAAAATGGGTAAATAATTTAATTTCGGATAGTGGCACACAAACGTAAAACAAATTAATAAAAAAAATCGCCAAATTTGTCTCGCAATCGGCCAATTTCAGGTTTAAAGAAAAAACACATAGGTACATACGATATACGATTTTATCATAAAAAAGTGTCAAAAAACAATATTTTCACTAAACGTCAACGTCATGTTTCCGGCAAGATCTTTCGTTTTACATTATGTTATCTGTGGTTTTGTTCTCTGTGATGGATACCTTATTGGCGCAAACGCACGCGATGTGTTGATTGGTTGTTAGCTAGTGAAATGAAAAGATGGCGAATGGCGCAAACGCACGCGATGTGTTGATTGGTTGTTAGCTAGTGAAATGAAAAGATGACGAATAAGGATTCAACCGCATAAAGATAACCTTGTATTTCCATTTTGAACCCCTTACAACCCTTTTTACGCCTTAAAAAGTAGCCTATGTCCTTCCTCGGCGTCTAGACTATATGGGTACCAAATTTCATTTAAATCAGTTCAGTAGTTTTGGCGTGAAAGCGAGACAGACAGACAGACAGACAGACAGACAGACAGAGTTACTTTCGCATTTATAATATTAGTAAGGATAAAACTCTCTGGTCAAATGGGGAATGGAATAATATAATATTAATTGTGTATAGTATTACTGAATGTTAAATTAACTATGGTCGAAGTTCGACCACTGGCATAGAGAAAACAATGTATCGTATATTATTGCGAATTATTATATTTTGATCATCAGGAAAATTTATTTAGTAAGACTATTTATGAAGATTATTAATAGGTTTAGGATAATTCAATATGATTAGTAACATGTCAAATTACAATCTTCTTCAAATAAATAAACAAATGAATCTGCAGGAAGCAGCCAGTAGAAGGCTAGTCACCTCCATTCAGATATACACGCTACAATTGGAATCATATTCAGACGTAAGTTATGTAGTATGCATATATATATACACGTATAGTCATAGGATATCAGATCTTTGTCCAGAACTTATGGTGCGTGTCGAATGTCATTGGATCATTTACCATGCGAGACTCATTGGAAGTTAATCATTCGGTACGGTTAATTGGCTATTGTTTACAATCAGTATAGCTATATATGTTTGTACAATATTATGATAGTCTTAGATGAAACTGTCTTTGCAAAAAAGTTTATTACAAAGTTGAAGAGTTTACAAATTATAATAGTGCTGACAATATTATCAAACTGCATAAAGAATGAGTGCGTAGCGGTTTCTATGATGTTTGTCGCATGGCTCGTAATTGTTAATGTGTATTTACTTAAAGCAACATATATTTAAAAGCTACACACAAATTTCTTCCTCATTCTTCTTGTATGCATCTGTGATCCATGTGAATGGTAGAATAAAAAATTATAACTATTAAAGTTTTTATTTTAAGAGTATTTCTATTATAAATGTAACTGGAATTGCGAAAAATCTGGTGGTCAAGTGATGGAATAGGAAAAACTACATGATCAGCACCACGAACATATAATTGCATCTATGACGTTCATGGTTGCTATTGACTAAAGAGGCATGCCTGCGAACTTTGTAAGAGTACAAAGTACGAAACGCCCTTTAAATCGAAACATAGTTTACAGAGCAATCTATTTGATGACTAAAATAGGTGAGACGGACCTCTCTCTCGCCTAGTCGTCAACTAATAGATAAGTAGGTACGTATGCCGCTTTACAAGCTATACATACGATTCTTGCTTAACACTACTCTGAGGGGGAAAGGGGATTGTTAGTAATGTGGACTAATGACCTCATTACCAGCACTATACCATGTCAGGTTGACCTCTACGCGTTTCCCCTGGACAACATGACGATGAATTTGTCACCATAGGCCAACTGACCTCATGTTCATCTTGTTATCCTCCAGCGCAAACCGTTATCGCAGGCGAATTCACCACTCCTTAATCATCCATTAAAAAAAAATTACTGATGAATCAACTCGCTTTTTCACATGCAAACGTTGCTGATCGGTGACGAGGTAACTCATCATTGCGCTTGCACTATACATTTCAGTAGTCAAATAGTTTATTTAGAACGTTTTACTCTTGCTCACTAAAATGTCCAGACATGTGGCGGCGTGGTGGGCCGGGTCAATGGGCTCCCTAAAATATGGTCGAGTGCAATGATGGCTGGCTCATCCGTCATACTCGTGAACGAGTGCTACTTGTAGGGACTGGTCTGCTCTTATCACTACGACTGATTTAATCTTATTGCATATTTATATTTGACCCAAAAATTAGTGCTTGTTGGTAGTTTGTATTCACACGTTTCGACTTGTAAATGTAAACTTACAAGGATTATTTAAAAGAGCAACACACAAGTTTCTTGCTCGTTCTTCTTGTGATGAGACAGCTTTCCGAACGAGTGGTAGATAAAAAACAAATTGTTATGACTATTCAAAAGTGCTTAAATTAAGTTTATTTGAATAAATGATTTTCTATTCTATTCTATTCTATTCTTACTTTTATATATCATAATAGCGGGTGACATGACATAGTTGGTGTTAAATTCCCAGTCAACAAAGTGTTAATTAGAATAGTCTAGGTGTACACTAAATTTAATTAAAATGCGTTAGTAGATTGTTTAGAGTATGATATCCATAGATAACTGTATACAAAGTTTCCTTTTGTCCATTTAAAGCGACAATAGCGTCCACATTTAGAACACAACACTATAAAAGGTAGTGTGGAGAGATTGGACATAAATAAAAAGCACCATAAACCAGCATGCTGACGTGCCGCCGGCAAAATAATCCAATTACTATAGAACTTTCACTCCTCATTCAACCTTCCGTTCTTCTTATGAAGCGCGTACGTTTCGCTATCAATCAGATATTTATGAAGTACATGGCGTGATGAGCGTTGAATAATTGTATGAAATAAAGTGTTAGGAGGTCGCATTTCGTCTGACTTCAAATTGGATTGATTGAATAAATTTGACTGATATTTTTTGTATTTGTTAGGCGCGCTATCACTGGACAATCGTAATAGATTTGAAGGTCGTAGTGCTACCGGTCTTGTTTACCTGATAAGAGCCCTAACAATTCGATATCTGCGACAAATACATATATTGAGTTAATAGAGCTTTTACGAACTGATATTTCACTATAGAATTATTGACTCTCATGTTCGACCCCTACGTACTAATACCACCAATACTAAACTTGGCTAGTGCTTTTGTGGAATCTTAAAACTTCAATGTATGAAGTTTATTTTGATGTTTTTAGATATAGCGTCTAAACGAATAATTGGATAGTTACTGATTTCGTAATAACGACGATTTACATTGGTTCAGGGCAATAAAACAATAAGGAAAGGATGCTATGTGTGTGAGTCATTGTAGAAAAGTGTTACCATTTGTATATATACTTTGTTAAGAGCAGTAAAGTGACCATCATTAAGATAGGATACAATCATTATTTAGTTATCAACACACACAGTTTCTTTACACCCTAGGTCAACAATAAATAGTGTTAAATGGAAGTTGTATGACAACTATTACAATAAAAAATAAAAACTAGTTCTCTAGCATTCTGCAACAAATTTGGTTAAAAAATGTAATAAAATTATTAATGGTCAGTGACAAGTTTTCTTACTTCAATTGAAAGGGTACTTTCCAAACTATTATAAAGCTGGTGGTTGCAGTTTTTTTTTAGGCATGATAATGGAATGTTGCGCCCGCTTACGCTAACGGTTTATGCTGATGGGGCACCAGTGGAGGATGATAAAATGAGCATGAGGTCAGTTAGCCTATTATGAGAAATTTACCAGGAATATATCACGATGGTATTAAGGGGAAACCGCGTGGAGGTCAACCAAACATGGTACATTGTTAGCAATGAGGTTAACAATCCATATTACTTACAATCCCCATGCCCTCTGGTGATTGCAGTTGACCTGAACAGTTTCACTGAATGCAAATGTGGAAGAGTGTAGAAGGCACTATAATCACATGTAGGGATTTAGTGGTAAAGGTCAACTCCTTTCTGACAGATATAATGTTATTAATTTAATTAAAATTAATCCTTAATCCATAGAGGATTAGTAATAAAAGGGCATTGGTAATAAAAAGTTCACCAAAAATAGTGTGAAGACTTAAAAAACTATGCATTACTTATTACAACTATGTAATCTGATTCTCTTTAATTATGAAACATAATATACTTTATATATAAGTATTAAATACATCATTTACCTGTATCTATCAGAACTGAAAAGTCCATTCATATTTTTAAACGACAAGTAAAAGACTTCATCTTCAACATTTAAATTTTAGTTAGTATGACGTTTTAATTAATATTTAGTTTATTCTATTTAACTTTAAAATTATGTATGTAGTTTATATAAGCGTATCTAGTTTAATATATGATTATTATTATGTACATAAATTTTAAATTATATAATATTTATTATTATTTTCCTCTTTTTTTCTCCTGTTCATGTCATTTTACCTACCTGTTCAATATTTCAATCCGTTTCCTTAGTGAAATGGTTGCCTTGAAACGATTGCTTTTAGCAATAAGGCCTTATTGTAATGATATGTCCTTTGTTATATTGTTTGTGCTTCTTCTTTACTGCATGTTGTAAATAAAGTATATTCTATCTATCTATCTATCTATAATTTTCTATAATCTTTGTACTATATTTCATAAAATTATGTGACACCAATTCTACCTGATTTCATGTTATAATTATTGCAAATACATATTGAATAAGAATTGTGAATGTACTTACTTTTGAGTATATCATCGAGTATGGCATAGAGATCCTTCTCCAACTTAACATACTCATTGTCCTCACTAATCGGCCAGTCACATGAGAGGTTCCAATCCACTATGTCCACTTTATTACCAGAATCATCTGGCAGTGAGTACAACCTGCCGACAATCATTTTTTTAATATAATATATTATTTTAAACTAATAGTTACTGAGTTAAGTCTCACTGATATAAATATTTAAAAGATATCTCAGTCTCAAAAAATTTAAAACCTGCCTGCTTTGTAATCTGTATTATAGTTGAAATGTGGACATAAAACAGTAATGTTACAAAACTCATATCCAGTGTCATTTTCATTTGCTTAAAAATCTGTGTTTTATTCTAATTGGTTTACAAACAAAGTTACATGCCATTATTATAACAGCCCTCTACAAGAAAAAACACTATGTTATTAACAATAATAATACAAAGGTGTAATAAAATATGCTAATAATAATAAAAATACATCCTCAAAAATTTATTTTAACATATTTTATAATGTTACAGAATCATCCCTAACAATAAAACAATAACAATTTGTTGTGTCCATCTATTAACCACAGGTAATAATAGTTTCTGTTACTAAAACCTACTTGTTTTTCTTATTAGAGATTTTTTCATTTAGCAATTTAGTATCTTAGGAAAATTTAAATCTAAAAATTTCCAACAAATAAATTAAATAACATAGTTTATTTTAGAGAATTTTCTATTTACTGAACAGTAGATAAAAATACAATTTAATTACAGCAAAATGTTCTAACGATTACGAGACAATATTGTCCCTAAAGTGACATTTCTACCGACCAAGACATATTGGCTGAATGACCCCAAAAAACGTTATAACCAATATTATTATATACCAACAATTAAAAAAGTACTCACCATGTCTGACTGTCGGAAAAATCCAAAGATTCCACGTCGATTAGATCAGATTCGATCATATCTTTGTTTATATTTTGATCAATCCGATTCATAATACCAATGGAGAGGAATCATCAATTTGGCACTCTACATAAAATAACAAAATAAATTCAAGAAATAACTACATTTAATATATAGAATAGTGTAAATATTTAAAGAAAAAGACGTAATTATTTTAGAACCAATACGAAATATTAGAGATGTATTTGTAGTTTGGAATTTGACATATGTATCAAAACCATAGCTTAGATAGAGGATGAAAAAAAACGAAACAACGGTAATTTCTATAGACAATTTTTTAGTTCATTATGACATTGGCATGTGATCCATTCGCCAATCGGAAACAATATTTAAACTATGTAGTAAACACTTTCTTCAATAGAAATATTATTGAATTGTCCACGAATTAATTATAATTGTAATATAATTTCTGCTTCGTGAATGCTAAGATAATTAGTAGTTGTTTATGGTTTTTAGTGTTACCATGTTATTAAGATTTTCCTCAGAAGTAGGAACATAAACTAAGGAAGGTATTTACGAAACATATTACGAAAATAAATATGCTTGTAAATTTTAATATTAGTTTTGTGTAGTTATTATTAACTTTATACAATAAATTTTAAAAACTATACTCATTGATAAATATCGACAATATCTTTTCTAAAACAATACGTAATAATATATATTTATCGTTTACATAAATATATTTATTACTAGTATTTACATAACCTAATTGTACAACTAAGAACCTAAAATTACAAAGCTTAAAAAAATATAATATGATGACTAAAATATATTATTAAAAGAGGTCCCTTTAGACAATGTTCCGAAGATACTGGCAGCGTTCCCTCTTTGAATAGCTAGACTAATACTTTGTCCAAGGTAAGGTTTTATCGTTTTATTTACGTAATAAATTTATTGGTTATTAAATTAACAATGTCAGATAACAGAAACAGGTGACATTAATATCTAATACGATACAAATGATAATTATTAGTATTAGATAGTAACAACATTACATTTATTATTCTGCTGATCTGTTATACTAATGAGTGTTATAATAAAGACATAATAACAGAATGGTAAGTATTTTATATTTCTTTTAATCCAGAATGTGAACGCGTTTATTAAATTCATAACACTTTCTGAAATCTTTCACCCTAGGTATAATATACATTGGGGAAATTTGTTATCTTATTCTGTTATTCTTTCTATAAAAAAAACCTTTTTTGTGATTGGCGGTTTTGTGTGCTACTTTGACATTTCGTTGTACAGAACAACCAATCAAACGAAGTTTCCATTGATTTTTACGTCAGTGTCATATCTTTTAATTTTTTCTTTCTTTTTTGTCTATGTACACGTTTGAGTACTGAACACGTTTTTGTGTAGTTTCACAAGAAAATTGCAAAAATGTCTTCTCATCTCAATTGGATGATTATCCGCAATAACAACGCTTTCCTTGTGAAGAAGCGCAACATTAAAAAGCCATTCAGCAAGGAGCCAAACAATGTGACTAACCTCAACTCGTACAGATACAATGGCTTAATACATAAGAAGGCAATAAGCGTGGTCGAGAATCCGGACAGGAAAGGTTTTACTGTGGTGTACAAGAAGGCTAAGGCTACCAACAAGCCATCCAAGAACACCATTAGGCGCCCATTCAAAGCCGGCGCCAGGAGATCACTTTTTAAGGTAAAGAGGTTGATGAATGCCAACCACTACCGTACCGACTTGACAAAGGCCACACTTCGTCGTGCATCAGCCATCCTCAGGTCCCAAAGGCCCATAAAGCAGAAGAAAGCGAAAGCAGCTGCTGCCAAGACAGAATAACTATGTATTTAAGCTTACAATAAAAAAAGGTTAAAAACTATTTCATCTTTTATTAATATACACTCTTGTGAAGTAATATTTATAATTGGATTATTACTGTTTATTGAATATCGATCTCAAAGATTATGAATTTAATCCTTAAAATGTTTTGACACAGATCTGTGCACCCCTCTTAAACCGTTTTATCGTCTTGTCACAGATCTGTGCCTGCAAACCCGTTACTTCTTTATAACCAATTTTATCCTTATTTAAAACAAAAGAAGATTGATACGCATTTCAAAAAAATACAGCTGGCACATGCCTCTTCACTTTCAGTCGCTGCGACAGACCTTTGAAAGGTGTCAAATTGCATCAATCTTGTCTCTTAATTTAAAATGTTCTGAGTAATTAAAGACATCTAGATAAATGTTCAGAGATACAATAGTTTGGTGGAACAGGTCATAGGCTCCTCAAAATATGGCCGAGCATGCTGGCTCACCACTTATGCTCGTGAAAGGGTGCTGCTTGTGCCTACAAGTCTACTTAGACAACTATGACTGTTTTTATTTTTTACAGAGTAACTACTATTTAAATTTTACTTCCTTTATTATTTAATAACATGATTAACATCTTGCTACTTGGCAGTTTTTATTCGTAAAAATTCTTGAATATATAATATTACATTTATTTGTAACTGCAACATGCAAATTTCTCAGTCTTTACCCTTCTTTCTCAATGAGTAGTGGAATAAAAAAAATATGACTATGTAAAAGTGCTTATACTAAGTTTGTCAATAAGCATTATATTCTGTTCTATTTCTATAAAATACATGGATATAAATAATAAACGAAATATTTTTACCAATAAATTTATTAAAAACAAACCATGATTTCATCACATAATCTGGAATGTAAAGCAATAAACATAGTCACTGGTCAAATATATTGGTTAAAAACAATAACCACTATTATGACTACCTTAGCCTCATACATGATCCTATATTATAAAATAAAAACAGGTCTCTTTTGACTAATTCTGGCAATACACAATAAACAGAAGTGCTCCACGAACAGACATAATTATTGCATAAACATTCATTATTTACAATAGATATCACATATAATTCTATACATTTATGTGTTGAAACAATCCCTTGAATAAGACCTCTGATACAATATAAAATACAAATATCTACAGTGTCAATTAATATAAAAAATAATTTAAAAATAAAATCGAAACTATTTAGGGGCTCTTTCACACGACACTGCTAGTGAAAATACTGCATAAAGCAAGCAGTGTTCCTATACATACAACATGTTTAGAAACACCGAGTTCAATATAACAGAGTAGTCCACATAGAATGTGTTTTAACGTTCATGAAAATGTATTTATAATATTAGACCCTCTATGTAAGATGGTTAAACTATTCAACTGCTACAAAGAAAATCCTATGACGATTCATGTAAAAAGTGATTTCACACTATTCTAATACTGTCAGCCGTAATGCCCTTAACTCTTTTCACTAGACAGAAATACGGGCGAGTCCAGAGGGCACTCCAAAAACCACGAAAACACTTATGGTTATTAGTCTCGATGATGCCTAACGGATTATAATTTCTGCATGTGAAGTCTAAAGACAGCATTAGAGATGTGAAAAAAATAAAAAGAAAGTGTTTTCTAATTTTTTTGCTAAAAACGCTCAAACGTTTCCATAATTAGAAATGCAGGTCGCCGCAACGCCGCTGTGATGTGAAAGAGTCCTTATATAGAAATTTGCTTATTCAAAAGATTTTATAAACAATATTCTTGGCTAGTGTATTGATAAATTAAACCATATAATTTAAGCCAAGGACATTACTTGACGAGACTTTCTTGGTAAAACAATATAAAATTAGTTTGTGCATTATAATTATAGACATGTATATAATTGACAAGGAATTGGATTATACATTTGACATTACACTGTTTAGTAACTTGATTAGGATTTGAACATTCATCTACAAATACTACAGTACTAACAGCATTATTAAACTAGACTAAATACTTAATTTTCAAGGTGTGAAAAGCAATAGTTGAAGGTCTATGTAAAGCTTCAGGTACAAAATACAGTAAACATGAAAATAAAAGGCACAAACATTAATTAACCTATCATTACAAAGGCACAATATACAAAAATTCATAAATGTTTTATGTCATTACATGGTACAATCGACTTTAAATAGTTAGTGCAGCTATCTTTATTTTTTTATTTTACCGCCAAAAACAGAGATATCCTACCATTTTAGAATAGAACTAATATATAGGAAATGCACTATTTCATAATTTTAAACGTCCTGTAAATTATACAGTAGACCACAATAAATAAAGTGCTCATTCAGTATTAAATACATCGATATTTTTTTTATACAGTCAGAATTATGATAACGCTTCCAAACTAAATGCGTAAATCGTAATGCACAAAATCCAAATGCATGGAGATGACAAGATTGATACATAAGATTATTATTAAAGCTAGATTCGATGGTTAATCCATACAATTTCGATTTTTCTGGTAGCGTTACATAATAGAAAAAAATCTTAAAATACAAAGTAAGCTCATCTTAAAATAGTTACCATAGACAAATAATATTACAAAAATATTAAAACCAATTTTAAAAATAAACATACTGACACAGCACAGATAATAAGCGTTTTTATTGTACTGGCTATATGATATTGAATGAAACTATCTAATGCCGACTGTACCGACCAGAAATGAATTGTGTAACATAATGGGATTGTAATAATTATAATAGTGTAACCAACTTCAATGTAACACACCAATTAACAAATATTATATCTAAGTAATCTGCTACCTTAACTTCACTTATAAATAGCCTGTTTACACTTCATAAAGTGCAAATATTAAGTTAATAGTTGAATTTATATAAACGTTTGTTGCATATTCATAGTGTCGTCGACAATTAAACATATTTTAATATTACATTATTAAATGATAAGAAAATAAGCAGTTCAATCAGTACTACCTACTAATTAAATAGATTTTGATTAATGTAAGTTGGTGTTTTTGCTGTAACTTTCTTACACCTCGATGTTACTACAATGTATGAAAGTAATATAAAAAAATTACTGGAGAATGAAAACTAATCACTTAACACTTGCACGTAATACTTAATAAAGTGTAAACAGTGCCAAAGACGACGATATTACGACTACGTGTATATTATAGTGTACAATATGAACATCGAATATTTTGGGACAAAATATATTAGTTTCCACATAACTACGAGAAGCTCATGACATATTGACGCTTATATTTCGTTATTTATTTATTATACATTTCGTTTTAATTCATCTTTTATCTATCTAAACACGTTAACTATTATAGGCACACATTTAATAACACTAAATATATGTTTAGTTTAATTTATCAATATTATTCGACGTTTGAGAAGGCAGTGGAAAGGACGACGTTATTGTCAGTGGAAATTAATTAAAATTATTAAAGTAATACTGAACTGGTAATGTACAAAACTACAATTCTTCTAGGAATATAAAATCTGACAATAAACTTGTGCACATAAATATTATTTTTTAATAGCATTCAAGTGGTGTAAGTACGATTAGATGGCAAGTAAATGGCAGTAGTCTATAGACTACTGAAAAAATATGGGGCAGGGTTTCGTAATAAAGAGGTGTTAGTTACAAAGAACAGTTGCAATAGTTTCTTATTTGAAACAAATAAATTTATATATATTCGTATTAAGAACCCGACTAATTAAATAAATGTGCACTAAACGAGAGTGTATAAACGTAAATAAACTGAATTAAATTTCAACATTTTATTGTAATGTGTGAGTAATTATGAACTATTTGACTTATCCAGATACAAATCGAATTGAATCACAAACTGCAACTGTGAAATGGTTCAAATGTAATCAAAATAGTTATAATGTAAAATAAGAACTATTGCAACTGCATTACATTTTCAAGCTCCAGGTGGTTAATGTGCCCAATTATTATAGTTATGGAATCGATTGATTGATTGAATTTATGCTTGAGATGCATTGGTTGATTGATGTAATGCACCACACTGCAACCATCGAGATGCTACTTAGTATTGTTACCGTTGTGTAATAATGATCATATGTATGATACACATTGCAATGAGATATTGAGTTGAATTAAATAGGCTATAGATCAATATATAATCAATAGTTGTAACTCATTAGAAACAATACATATATCGTATCATTAAATAAAATCAATATAAATGAAACGGATAACCATTAACACTAATTTAGTGAGCAATTTTAAATGATTACATTACACTTTATATCATTTACATTTATTATATTTAATTTATTAATTACAAATTCCTGTCAGTCCTTAAAACATAAAACAAAACTAACAACACACCTTAATTGAAGTAATGGGTCATAAATATTCTGTTTATCAGATCAATTTAATAAAACTGAGATACATGATTGGAATATAAAATAAACTTGAAAAGTTCAATTTAAATCATTGTTACATTTATATTTTATAATACTTGATTAAAATCCATTTTAAGGGTCTAAATATCTTTTATTTTTGGTGGGGTTTGTATATAGGTTTGGAATATACAATCCATAATATTGTTATACCCAATGATAAATATATATATATATATAAATGTTGCAAATGTATGTAATTTGCATGTCTTCAATAAAATTTATAAATTAAATGTAATTAAGTAAAATTAATTAATTTACAAGAACTGAAATAAATTAATTTAGAGGGCATAAGAGCCCAGGCACACCTGATGGTAAGCGATTGAAGCCGCACATTTACACTTGCAACACTAGGGGAGTTGCAGAGGAGTTAGGAGCAGGAGGAGTGTGCTCCTTTCTTGCATCTAATACCTTATTTGGTACGGTAATGTATTACTTATACTTATTTACAATTAGTAAGTAATTCCGGTATTAGTCATTGCTAATACCACTTAAACTAATGTATAATTATACCTGTGTCAAATTCCATTATTTTCCAATGGAGAATTTTAAATTCTCCACAAAATTAAACGGAGATCATTCAATAAAAAAAAATCAAATGTCACACAATAGTAAATGCATGCTTTAAATTAAATATGAAAATGACTAGGAGACATATTACTTAATAATACTTTGTACATCATTTACGAGCTGTTTACAAAACTATCTACAGCTTTTTAAAGACTGGAATGTTATGTATTACATTAAGTGAAATAAAAATTAGACAATTTTATCGTTCATGTTAACCCATTTAAAAGGGTTCCCTTACGTTACGGTTTGGCATTATAGGTGATACCAATTATACGATGACTAAAATTGTAAACTCAATTTAGTCTTTTAGACTACACTCTAATGCACACGAAAAACTGCGTCAAAACTAATTATGTATGCATTTAAATTTATATTGTAATAGGACTCTTCGTTCGGGCTACTGGATGGCACACTATTCCGTATTTTTAAATATTTATGTTTTTATACGGATATTGTCTAGTTACCATAGTGTTGTTTTTCCTCTTGCTTTTCTTATACAATACGATCATATAGTTTGTTACGCAATATATTTTTGTAATATACTGTTATACTTTCATGTTGCGCCTTTAATTACTACCATCGATGGCTGCACCGACCCCAGCGCCCTACACACAGTCCCACACAGTAATATTATTACCAATACTTGTAATTTATATTTTAATATATTTATACATGAGACGAGTTTCGGTATATGATCTTTAAGCGAATTACGTTCAGGACAGTCACACGTAACTATCGCAAGTACTTTTAATATTATATTACAATGTGTATAAGGAAGTTCTAACACGACGTTAGAACATACACAGTGACTTATATGTGCGTTTAGTTGTCATAAATAAACAAAAAGTATTTGAATATGTAGATAGTCCAATTTATAAAATCTTAGGATTACTAGTTTTCCTGACTATATATAAACAAAAGCTGTGATTTTAACAAAAGCCTATTTACCGTGTTAACAAAATCAAAATACAGCATGTAAACAAATATGATATATAGATATATATTTTAACAGACTATAGTACAAAAAGCTACTACAGATGAAATAACTAAAATTGTTTAAAATTGTGTAAAGTTTATAAAAAAAATCATGGCTCAATCGATCAAGAAATATATAAATAATCTAATCGGTTATTTGTTTACATTTCAGTTATGGTTGAAATGAATAGGGGTCCCTTGTAACAATTCACTACAAACTAATACAAATAAATCATAAGTGAAGTCAATGGGACAATCGTTGACGCATACACAACCTCGCGCCAAGCACCAAAACTAAGTTATGTGCGTTTAGTTACATCATAGTTTGACATTGTGACTAGAGGTTGTAAGACAGTTAAGTTTTCAAATGTTCTGTTCATTAATGTTTTCAATCTTAGAGTGGTAAATATATCAAAACTATGTATATCTATATATAACTTGCTAGCCAGTATATAAGTTGTTAAAAGCGATTAGTCGAGTCAAAAGTTGTATGGAACTAACGTTGGACTAAAATCGATCGATTATAAAAATAATAAAAAAAAATATGGCTGTATAATTTATACAGAAAACGTACAGTCGAATTAAGCTCGTTCTTTTTGGAATCAGTTATATTACGCTATATTTTCACCGATTGTATGTCCATTTAATTAATTATTATATAGTAGTAATTATTTCTTTCACATTATTCACTGTAGTACCTACCATACAAATTGTAGTGGATACTTTTCTATAAACAAATATATATATATATTGTCTATATCTTAAAAAAAAGCGATACTTCGCTAATATTAATGACAAACCGACAGCTCCGCTTCGCTCAGGCTTAAAATTTGCATTACAACGTCGAGTCACAAGTCAGATTCGTTTATATATTTCTATATTTATAATTGTTCGTTTATTCACTTAAAAACCCTTATTCATGAAGTATATAAACCCATTTTAACTATTAAAGTATTCGTTACTTTCTTTCAAATTAAGCAAACAGCTGAAAGGGACAAAACAGTTCAATAGCTGAATAGGTTTACTACACTTTAGACATTTTTAGGAACAAGGGGTTTGACTTCAAAATGTAGGAAGATAATTGCGGATTTATCTATGTTCTTACTAGTGTTGTAAAAATTATATAACAGGTTACTGTATACAGTGCGTAATATAAAGTGTTGTTTACAAATTAAATTACAAAAATCCGCAACTAACCTCTTATACAGGGTTAGTAAACAGTATATCAAGCCGAAACCTGTGTTAGTATTCATGAAACTTGAGTTGGTTTCCCAAAGAAACAAAGGGGAAAATATTTAATATCCTCATTCAAATTAATAATGTAGTACATGAATTATAAATTTAAAATGACAAGTTGATTTTTTTATATATTTTACCATTTGGTTCCTGGTGAATGTAATACTTAATAACTTTCTTAAAGAAGCAAAGTTAAAGATTGAAAATAATTAACACCTTCATATAAACTACTGTGAGATAATGTGAGTAACATGAAAAAGATAGAAAGTTAAGTAAGAAACTATTTACAGACTTCTACTTTGTTTCTAGTTGAAAGATCAGTTTCATGATTATTCTACCTGATTTCAGGCTTGATATAATGGTAATGCCTAACCCTATTTCAACATCAACATTAAAAAAACTACATATTATAGTCACATAAAAACTTATTCACATGCCAATTTGCTGTCAAATGAGCTAAGTGCTATACCAAACGCTTGGAGGGCGCATAATGGATACCTAAAGTCCATAGTGAAAACATCCTCCGATATCCTACCGAACTGCATGACAACATAATCTGGTTCTGACTCGTGGACGATTTGAAAATTCTTAACACTTGCCTGGGTCACTCTGCCGTGGAAGTTCAGTACGTACGATTGAGTTTCGTCGTTCCACACCGGCGTCTTGTTATGGAGCACCACTATATCGTCCAGCGTTTGACTCTTCCAACGTTCGAGGAGAGTCTCGCTATCATCTTGAGGGGCGATAGTGACCCGTTGCCTGTCAGGCGTCATGCCCGGCAGGATAACCGTCATTTTGCGTGGGCCTTTGAACCCTAAAACGTTTGTGTCCTGGAAAAGATATTTCATGTTTTTTTAAATAGATTATGCACACGGCTGCATTAAAGTATACGCTGGCGGAGCATTAGCGAAAGATGATAGCATGAGGATGAAGTCAGTCTGTTCAAATAGCCTAAGATGGTATATTCATCAGCAAGTAAACATGATGGTTACTAGGGGGATCGGATAGTGATTGACCAGACATAGTACATTGTTTCACTGACACAATCTCTATACCCTTGTAGCATTGTGTTATTAATTATTATGGATATTGGATAGCTTCATGCATAAAGTGAAACGTTGCGTGAAAGGGAAACATAGATGTGTGCGACTGAGAGAGAAAGTATGCGGGTAAAACAATAGAAATAGAATGAAAAAACAATAGAATAAGACGGAGAAATAAAAAGAAGTTTAGCAGACAGTAGTAAATGCTATTTTTGGCTCCCACTAAATCCCGTATGATAGATGACTATCCAATCAGAGATTGTTATGACCTGCGTAACTATTATTTCTGTACTTACATATACAACAGCGGCAAGTTCGTGCCTCGTGCGCGCATGGTCGTGTTTCCTCCAAGCTTTCCCGTTGTCATATACCGTAAACGCAGTTCCGAGCAAGTTGGACCGCAGTTTGCCCGCAAAACTGTCCGCGGTGCGGGTCAACTCCGTTGGATCCGTAGAGATTAAGTAATTGGACGTTGCGGACTTCTTGCGTTTGCGTGCTGTTGACATTAATAACGTTATAAAACATTTATCTGATTTAATATTAGTTAGAGAGAAGATTTTATATATTGTTTGCAGGGAATGAACCCGCGAAATACGCTACAGGACTACTTAAGTTTATAATTTTAAGTTACTCATTTTAATTAAGTTTTTACTACAAACTGGGCAGATGTTTTTAGTAGACTAGTAAGCAAATATGAATAGTATTTTTTTTTAATAAAAAAATATTAAGAAACCTAACTGCTCTTTTAAATACTTGTCCTAAACAGTTGTTTTATGCAGACTTTATAGTTCAACTTTACATATTTAATATGTTTTATACAAACTACCAAATAGTACCACTTCGCCAGAGTAAAATAAGTAAACAATTATTGGAGTAAAATTGATAAATCAGAGATAGTGATCAGAGCAGACCAGACCATACTAGTAGCATCCGAAGCTAAATGTACATACCGGCTAATAGAAACACCTTCTTCCCATAATCCTTCTCTAAATGCAGGAAGTATGTGGGATACAACCCACGATCCATGCCTTTGCGATCCCGTGCTATTCGACACTTGTACAGCGTGCCGTGCTTTGCTGGTGTCACCACAAACGTTTCTACAGCGCCCTCTACGGACCCTTCTATTTCCGCCGTCTGAACAAAGTATTATTTGGATATTTTATACAAATATTGTGTATTATGATTAAATTGTTTCATACTGTTTTCTGATGGACATTAAATGATGAACCCGTATGCTCTACCGGTATACGCTGGTGGGGCACCACTGGAGGACGATAGGATGAGCATGAGATCAGGTCAGTTAATTCATAGTGACAAATTCACCAGGAATTAGTCACGATAGTCTCCAGGACTTCATGGATGTCATCCTGACATGGTATATCACTAGCAATGGGATCACTATTCCCCATTATTAATAACACATCATAAAATGAGAACGCTATATAAAACTAGCATTCTCTCTCAAATCTAATCAAAATACTTTTATTTATAAAATATTGATACAAAATCTTGCCTAGCATAAGTGACTAAAATGTCCCACATGAATAAACTAGCTGACCCGCGCAACTTCGTCTGCATCACACTTACCCAATTTACACAATATATTTATTAATTATAGCCTATATATTATTCTGATGATGGTAAGTTATAGTAGTGTCTTCAAAATCCGTTCCATAATTTATGCGTGAAAGAGTAACAAACATCCATTCATACTCACAAAGATTCATAATATTAGTTGAATTGATTTAATTTATCTGTAGAATTAAATCGCAACTATACAATACTGTGATATTACAAAGTTTTGAATCACGACACCTTTACCGGCAGAAATGGCAGTGTTATACAAATATCAACCTTTTCATCATGGACGTAATATTAAATTGAATATTTGCATAATAGTTTAGATAAGACATTGTTATCATAAATCAACTGATACGGTTAAGCTCATTTCATGTCGACGAGCCTCGAGTTATTTGCAAATTACTGTATGAATTATTCATGTTGAAGTATTAAATTTTACTTTATAACTAACTGAGCTCGCAATTTCATACCCCGTGGTATTCAGAATAACAATAATTTATCTTTATTTATTTTATTTGTAATCGATTAAAATCAAACAAACAATGAATTTTAAGTGAAGTTTACCACAATATATTTAGCATATGATTGAAAACCATACCCAAATCGGTTTAGCCGTTTCTGAGATACAACACAGCCGTTTCTGAGCACAAACTCACCGATAAATAAGTAAAAATTTTAACAGTCATTGTATTGAAAGAAAGAAAAGAAAGAAAGAGAATTGTTTATTTTGTACACTGAAAATAATTCATAATAATAATAAAAATAATAACATATTGGGTGCTATTATGTTATAAAATTCCCCAATAACAGTTCTCATACACGTTTAACTAGCTGCACCCGCAACTTTGTTCGCGTGGAATTTAACATTATTTTTCTAAAATAGAAGTGACCTAAATTACTCCTTATTACATCAGCTACCTGCTAAAAAAATCCCGTCAAAATCGGTCCAGTCATTTTAAAGATTCGACGGAACAAACAGACAGACAGACAAAATTAAAAAAAAATGTTATTTAGGGTGTATATACAATATTTATATTAATATGCATGTAGTAAAAAACGTTTATTTCAACTTATTAATACGATATTTACAAATTTGTTGAGATTCGCAAGTTACCTCTTCAGAGGTGTGCGCTTTTGTTTCTTAGGTATCGCTGTATTACGTCATTATTTGTATTGTCAATCGTTAAATATTTATGTATGTCATGTCATGTGTTTGTAAGTATTTTTAATCTATGTCAATTTAGAACTCTATCTTTATACGAAATTATAGATTAAAATTATTTTACCTAGTCCATAATTTCGGTACCCACAAAGGTAAGTTGGCACTGTAACTTACACTGGCATTATAATGTTATGACAAGGTCCTTGATAAATTAATAAAAAAATAATAGTGTTTTTATTTTTTTTTCACAAGAACTATATGACAATAATAAACACAACAAATCGGTGGAACCGTTCACGCGTGATGCCATGACCAGGGGAAATCGGGACTCATATACATATATAGATAAAATAATATAAAACTATTCACTAAGGTATTGAACATTTGAATTGTGCACCTTCTTTTTAAACTAAGTTGAGAGTAATTAAATCTATACTAACTTAAAGCCTGCCTCGACCATTGGACTATCCAACACGAAAATAATTTTTCAACTCGAACCAGTAGTTCCTGAGATTAGCGCGTTCAAACAAACAAACTCTTCAGCTTTATATATTATAATATATAAATTATAATATATATATAAATTATTTTCGTGTTGGATAGTCCAATGGTCGAGGCAGGCTTTATGCTATAACATTACGCTACAACCAATAGCAGTGGAGCTGCAATGAAAAATATTGCAGAAGGTGAAGATGAAGGAAGGGAAATGCAAGGAAAACGCAGACGAAGTTGTGCGGGTCAACTAATATTGATATACCTGGCTGGGTGAAACATCACGATTCGCAGTCCTCGCTTGCATCGGAGCCACTGCAGCATCAGCGCACACGTCATCAGCGCTGGCGTCCCGACCCACACTGCACACCGGCACACTTTCCTCTTCTTCCTCCCCGCTTCCAGATCCATCACCAACTGTGAGCACTTCTATTTGATTGCCAAGCTCTGGAAATATTTTATTACTAATTGATTTTACACGGCATGGTGTTTCCTATACTTGAGTATTCAGGTTTGTTTCTGGAGCACTGTTGTATGATTATAGGTTTTAATATATGGTGTAATATCACACCACACACTTAATCTATACTAGGATACTGTTAATAATAAGGATAGTAGGCCTATTGCTAGCCATGTACCATTCCACATCGACCACCACGCGGCCGCCCTAGAATCTATCGTGGTAAATTTCTAAAATTCTCCATGATGAGCATCATACCATTATCAGTCATTAAAAGAGGTTTATATTTCTATAGCAAATACTACAAACATCAATAACATTATTTAAAACTACTGATTATGCATATAAAATTTCATAAACATCGGTCAAGCCGTTTCGGAGGTGTAACTATTCTTGTGACACGAGAATTTTATACATAAGACTTATCGACGTACAAGTCGCTTACAGTCGTTCTTTTCATGGCTTGAATATTATTTATTCGAACTATTTACTGTAAATCTTTTTTCCTATACCTAACTTAGTAGTAGTAAGTTAGGTTTATCACAATTGAAATATGTTTTATCTATTTTTCCAATAGAATATTACCTTATTAGGTATTACTCATTGTTGTTGATCCTCATTCGTAGTAATTGAGTCAATATGGTACAAAGAACACGTTATGTAACTATAGATAATGAGTAATACCTATGTGGAATATTGAGCTTCAATGAATTTATCATTTATGCCTACACTGTGAATAATTCAAGTTCTAGTTAGAGTGCCAGATCTAATTGGTCAATATACATCCACAAGGGGACTGTTAGTCATGGATGGCTCTACTGTTTTTATAGACTAAGCTGTACTGTTTCTTTTATGTATGATAATGGAATTGTACACCTGCGCTATTTGTATACCGCTGGGGTAGGGTGGGGGTGGGGGGCAGTGAAGAATGGAAAAGAATGAAGATGAGTATGAGGTCAGATCAGTTAGCCCATAGTAGCAAATTCACCAGGAATGTAACATGATGGTTTCCAGAGGGAATCGCTTGGAAGTCAAACTGACATGATACATTACTAGTATTGGAGTTAGTAGTTCACATTACTAACATAACTAACTTGTGGCTACATTGATAACCACAATTGGTCAGCTTGACCTCCACATGGAAACCATCATGGTTAATTATGTCATCACCTTCCACTGGTTCCTCACCAGTGTATACTGTTAGAACGGGGGAGGGGGGGCGTTATACCATATTAATAGAAAAAATACAGATCTATACTTAATACTATAACAGTATAATAATGTAAATGATAACTTTATAAACTCCCATACATATTAATAAAAAATAATGAGATTACAACACAGGTAATTTGCCTTCTATTGAGTTAATGTAGGTTTTCCATTTAGTATTCAGTACTCATTAATGTATTATATTATTACACAGTTTCCTTCTATTCATTCATTAATTTCCCATATATTAATTTTGCCTTATACATAGAAAAAGCATATTCTAGTTTGAGGATACGCCACCACAACTTTCAGAAATCATAATATATTCCATTTTAGGTAACTGGAATGGAAAATAAATTGCCACTTAATGGTAAGTAGTATATTGTTGATACATGAACAGCACCATGGACATTATATATCTGTGGTATCCCTCACCATTCCAGAACATTAAAATTAAGAGAAGAATTATGTCTCCATACCCTATGATTTCACTGCCTTATCTTACGCAACAAAAACATAGCCTACATAGTAAACTGCTTGGTGGGCGATATAGACGTGACAGAGGAACCAAATGAAATAATTTTGTACTAAATTTATCTCTGGTCCGGTGAGGTAGACTAAGTTACCCATAATTTTTAATAATACCAAACGCAAAGTATGTGTGATTGAAAAATAGGCCCAGAATTAAAATGTTGCCTAGGGCCCACTTTAGCCTTAGTCTGCCACTGCTCTGGTCTCTCTATAGAGAATATTATACAATATATTGTGATACCCATAGTATAAAGGCATCTTGTGTAATATCCACAAGAATATTTATTCTTAAAAATAATGTTTACTACATTCTAATAGATTATCTGTGAGCTCTTAGGCCATTATAAGTCATAAAAAATAGAAGAATAAATTAAAAAGTTTGAAATTATAACTGCTGAAGTTACCGTAGTAAAATGTTATATTATAGTAATAAAGACAGCCATAAATGAGACAAAGTATTTTTTAAATTTAAATAAAAAAATACACAGTCACATGCAGCATAGAAATGCAGTGGTTAGGTACATAAATTTATAGGTTTACTTACCATCATAGGTTGACATTCTATTTGTTTGGAGGGGTATTACTTGGTCTGGATTGACGGGCGACATAAGGAATTGCATCGGACCATCATAGCCTGTTATAAAAAAAGCGCATAACAAAAATAAAATTGTACTCAAAACACAGCTCATGCATATATCAGAACGAAACATTCAAAGAAGTTGAAAACGGTTCCATATTTAAAATTAAAAATACCGTGTAGTTCGCGCGAACGGCTTCCAGATATAGGCCGCTTGGCGGAACCAACCCTTAAATCATTCGCCTGCACCATTCCAGAATTCTGTCTTTTCTGTTTCATTTTTATTTCCATTAGCTGTCGCTAAAACAAGAATGTGCCAGTGGTTTATTCAGAATATTCGATGATTATTCAATAATTTGGATTATCGGAAAAGTTACTCACTTGCTGTTCGATTTTTTGGTCACGAACATTAATTGAAGCCATTGTAGCGATTCACATTAACTTAGAATATAATTTTAACTATTGCGTGCTACACTTAAAGATGTATACTATAACTTTTATCTCAAAATTGATAAGAATAATTGGCATTTTGTAAGCTCATTTTTGTTTATAAATCATCTTGCCTACCGTTGCCCAGGAATATAATGTTGCCAAGTTCTAACTCTATTTGTACTAAATCTACTATAAAAAAAAATACAATTACAGAAATACTACGTTGATTGGAAAAAAAAATAGATTCGATATGCACACGTATCACAATATAGAATATTATATTATTGGAAAAAATATGTAGAGTGATTATTGAAAACAAAAAAAAGACAGGAAATACAAGGAGATATCTTGATAAACCACTTGTATGCCCTGTCACTATTTGTCACTCTTGCGCGGCATTTCCACATGGATTAACACGTTTAGTTGACAGACTTCTTATTAATATTAGGAACGATGGATAGTGACTGTGGATGTTTATTACTTTTTCACGCAAAACTTAAGACATAACTGCATTATGTAATTGCATTGGTTTTAATAATCCATTTACCCAGAGGGAATTTCGGTCAAGTTATATAGTAATGAAGAGCAGTACTATATCAGAGCAACCGCCACATGGTGCCTACTGGAAACCTTTGAGTTTAGTTCATAATAAATTCTCCACGCCATCTGCCAATACGGTGACTGAATTAATTTCGTGTACTTTATTTTTTACTAGTGGACCATTTCATTTTAATTAAAAAACTTTTATTTATGTTATAATAATTTATACCTACTAATAGATTTAGGGTTTGTGAATAGAAAATAATTTCTGCTGATATCGAAGGATAAGCAAACCAAATAAACACTTATAATTAATACTGATTGTACAAAAAAAAATTATACATTGTTAAAAATATACTTTCGATGGGGACGCATCGGAAGCAATAGTGCTTCTGTAATTGTAGATGGAGCTAAAATTAAGAAACTATTTTCTGTTCGAGAAGACTACCTTATATTTATATTAAATACGTGAATGTTTACTATGTACCTATGTATCGTGTATGTAATGACTCAGTCAATCAGAAGTTAGAAACTTCTGATTTACCAGTTAGTTTACATAAAATGCCATGAAGACCAATATTTTTACTCAGTTAAGTCAATTTGTTTTTAAATAATATAGTAATAAAGAATTTCTTTCAGATAAGAAATTGGTCTCTCAATATTGTAACACCGATTATCACTGTCAAATGTTAATGTCAAAGTCAACTAAAATTGTCTGAACTTTGTACATAATGTGTCAAATCAATTGTCAATTTGTCTTTCTTTTTCTTCCAAAATGGCACCAACTCGAAGTATCCTCGGATTTTTAAATCCAAAAACAATTAGTGCGGTTATTTCAAGCAATATCTCTAGAACTCCTTGTCGGTTCCTGCATGGGTGTAGAAATAGTTGTGATCAGTATATTAGCGGTCCTCTTTTAGGTGGTGTCAAATTCCCGCATATAATAATAAAATGTAAGTTTTTCATGGTTTCAAAACAATTAAAGACTTCAAATTTCTTTATATTAATTACTGCTTTGTACTCTATATAATAATTGACTTCATTTTAAAGTCTAAAATTTTATTGCTTCATTATTGGAATTTTGAAAACCTAACCTCAAAAAATTATTTAGGTAATTTAGGTCACAATTATCGACAATTTCATACCTCCCGAAGCTTAGAAGCGAGAGCTGATTATTACAAAGTCCTGGGTGTGTCCAAAAATGCATCAGGAAAGGATATAAAAAAGGCTTATTATGATCTTGCAAAAAAGTATCACCCAGATGCCAATAAATCTGATCCAGAAGCCTCGAAGAAATTCCAGGAGGTGTCTGAAGCTTATGAGGTTAGTCTTAAATATATAGCCAAATTTAATGAATACCAAAACTAAATGTGTTACTTAACTCTTATATGATGAGAGTAATCATTGTATTATTTTTATAAATTTATAACATCAAACATACACACAAATACTGACTTTATTTAACTGTACAGACCTTTTTAAATCTATCTATTTCAAAATTATGCAGGATTATATAATGTATAATATTTAAAGCTCCTTAATAGAACCATCTTTGCTTTCTAATTAGTAAATTCCTCCTGTAACCTTTTAAATTGACCTCAATCGTGATCAATACTTATGTATAAATTTTCCACAATTTTAGTGTTTGAAATGAAATGAAATGAAATTTAGTTATTTGACATAAAATTGACATAGTTTCATACAAACTTTCATTCCCTATTTTATCCCATAACATCTACCTGCATGCCAAATTTCAGTCCGTCAGTCACCTTTGAATTATATATATAAAAAAATTTCAATATAAAATTACACTAGATAGACTTAATGCAACTGATTTATTGACAATTAACTGATATAAAGAATGTATAATAAAAAAATACTAAATATAAGAAGTTGTACTACATTATATTCTATTTTGCTACATAATATTATATTATATATTATTAATGGAACCATTAATAATATATGCAATATAATGTATAAAATTGTAAACAGCTGTGATAAAAGTTTAAAATGACATTCTAGATTCTCTCAGATGAGAATAAACGCAAACAATATGATACATATGGTACAACATCAGAGCAAATGGGAATGGGCAGTGGACCAAGCGGCACTGATGGGTTCACACACCAGTGGCAGTACAAGTCTACAATAGACCCCGAGGAATTGTTCCGGAAAATCTTTGGAGACGCTGGCTTCAAGAGTGAAACATTCAATGATTTTGCTGAGAGCCAGTTTGGATTTGGTGCAGCAAGAGAGGTAAGAAATATTATATTGGTGAATTCACAAAAAAAGATAATTTTTCTCATTTCTAATATTGATTTTCTTTATTTAAGTGGGATGTCAAATTATGATGGTCATGATTTTGATTCCTGCATAATATACTAAAAAGGGGAAGGGGATTGGTAGTAATGTGGATTGATAGACCCATAGTCAGCAATGTATGTCAGGTTCACCTATACATGGTTTCCCTTGGAAACCATTGTAATAGATTTCTGGTGAATTTGCCATGATGGGCAGCCGATCTGACCTGATGGTCATCTTATCTTATCATCACTGACTGGTGCCCCATAAGTGTATACTGTTAGCGCGGGAGGTGAACCATTCCATTATCTGATATGAATAAAAAATGCTGCAAATGTTAGCATTACTAGGTATATATGTTTTATTATTCTAGCTGTCTTGCTTTGTGCATTTTGTATATATTTGCAACAAAATATCTATTACGAGTTGAGAATCGATAATATATTGAAAATTTCAAGAAAAAGAGCTGATGCCTTCTTAAAAAACTTACCAGCAATTCTACTATGTTTATATTGTGCTACGTTGGAGTGCTTATGGGCGGCCGCAATACTTGGCATCAGGTGGGGCTGAAGGTCATTTGCTCGTTGCTACAATTTATAAATACATAGCGTTAATCTGAAATACCTTTTTCAGGTGATCGTAAACCTCCGATTCACAGAGGCAGCACGTGGCGTGAATAAGGATATAAATATCAATGTGGTTGACACTTGTCCCAAATGTACGGGCTCCCGATGCGAGCCAGGCACCAAGTCTATCAAGTGCACATACTGCAATGGTACAGGAATGGAGACATTTTCACGAGGTTCGTTTTTAGATTTATTTCTTATTAGCTGTGACTGCAGTTTCACTCGCATGAAATTTATAGGCTGTGTCATTCTGATGCATAAGTTATATTACTGTAAATTTTTATCAAAATCCTTTCAGTAGTTTTTGCGTGAAAGCGTAACAACATCCATATTCACAAACTTTCGTGGTTATAATATTATGAAGATAAGATTTAGCTGTTCTACAGCAAGATCTATTGGCAAGATTTTTCGGCGTGAAATACTGTTGGAAATGTTATATATAAATTATAGGTTAAATGCAAGGTTACAATTTTTCAGGTCCATTCGTAATGCGTTCCACGTGTCGACATTGTCACGGTACTAGGATGCTAATTAAATTCCCCTGCACAGAATGCGAGGGCAAAGGACAGTCTGTAAGTAGTTTTGTTATACGTTTTAAATGGTTAAATTTAATTACTTTTATCAAATATTGATTACTAATGGCCCACGTTGTTTCGGCAGCTCATGATATTAACATAACATGTAGTTTATGCACTCTCGAATAATATATCTTAAGTAAGTCTTACTAAGGGAAATTATGATATCAAAGGATATTGCAATTATATAAAAAAATATTGTATTGTTATATTTTTTGTCGAATTAGGTATTATTTGGCGGAAGTCTATTTCTTTATTTAATGGATTTCTATTATTTTCCTTAATTGCGGTCACATCGCATGTGTGAGACCGCAATTATTCAGTGTGGAAACCTGACCACCGCTACCAGAAGCGTTTATGTGTCAAAGTGAATAAATTCCTACTGTTATTTGATCTACACCCATATTGTGTACGTATTTCGTCACTGGATGAAGCATCATCAGGCAATTAATCCAGAGAGGATATGGCTTGGAAGCTTAGTGTTGAGTGTTCTGAGTCGTGGTCTGATCGCCAAACAGTTTAGGATCTGTTTTATGTGCCTATGTTACTAGAAAACAGATAATCTACATCGAGAGACAATCCTCACGCAAACGGCACTTAATGGTGCCTACCTGACCTACGGAAATAATAAATTATGTTTGTTTGCAGGTACAACGTAAGAAAGTAACTGTGCCCGTGCCAGCTGGAGTGGAGGATGGTCAAACCGTCCGCATGGCAGTCGGCAACAATGAGATATTCATAACATTCAAAGTGGAGAGCTCTAGCTATTTCAAACGAGATGGACCCGATGTTCACACTGATTGCACAGTAAGTACAACTAGTACCTACAACAAAATTAAAGTGATCATTAAGAATTAATCTATACATATAAATAAAAGTGGAGTGTCTGTTTGTAATATTGTAATAACCGTTTTTTACTACATGCATATGAATATAAATACGGTACATACACCAAATTATTTTTTTTTACAATTTTTGTCTGTTTGTTTCGGCTAATCTCTGAAATGGTTGGACCAATTTTGACGGGACTTTGGCAGGAAAAATTCGATTATTTTAGAAAAATAAAGTTAAATTCCACACAGATGAAGTCGCGGGTACAGCTAGTGTTAAATAAAATTCTGTACAACAAGTCGTCCCAGAAATTTAGTTTGGACGAGTTGTTTTTGTTGTAGAATAGCGTCTATTTATTTACTGAATTATTTTTATGTTTGTATTCTCAACTGAATCTGTAGCCTGAATTGGATAGTAGAAAAAAAGTATCACAAGAGGCTGAATCTTTTTCATCATTCATTATTTTTAAATATAGTATATATTTTTATTTATATATTTAGTTGGATTCACTTAATTGAACTTTATTATACAAAAAAAAATTTTTTTTTTATTTTCAGATATCCATATCTCAAGCTTTACTTGGTGGTACAGTTCGGATACAGGGTCTATATGAAGACCACACAATACAGGTTGGTAATTATTTTTATTGTATATATATGTAAGTAGTATTATTTAGTTGTAAATTATTAGTTAGTATTGCTATGCCTTTTTTTTATTTCTGTAGTCCATTCTTGCGCTATCTACCACTTTCTGTCTTCTCTCCTCTACCCAAAGGATGTCTGGAAGAGATTGCTTACGCGATAAAACCGCCTTTTGTGTCTTATTACTTACTATCTGTTTATGTTCTTAGTAATATACTTCTGGTGCAATAAAGAGTAAATAAATAAATTTATAGATAATGCCGGGGACGTCGTCACACAGTACTATCCGTTTGTCGCGCAAGGGTATGAAGCGAGTGAGCCAGCACGGATACGGGGACCACTATGTGCATATTAAAATACAGGTATGGAAAATATTAACTTGTTACTAACCGGATGACAAAGCTTCGTTCGGTGTTTATGTTTATTTTATTTTGTAAAAGCAATAAATTTTACATTTCTCATTTCATACACCTCATTACATACACCTACAAAGTAACATACATTGTGGAATTTGAAGTGATGCATCTGCCCTCAACTTACTATAATTTAATTACTTATTATTAAAAGTAGGTTTACCAAATTTAACAATAAATGACCCCTTTTTTTTTTGATAAATAGTCTATGCCCATCCTTATGGGTATAATCTATCTTCATGTGAAATTTCATTAAGAACAGCTCAGGTATTTTTCTGCAAATTACCTGAGTTTAATACGTAAAATTAACGTATTTATAAAATTATTATCGTTTAATTTGCTCGTTTAAAAAGGTTATGGGCCCAGAACACTTCGTCGGCCTGTCTCAATATCCAATATTTTTAAATCTACAGGTACCAAAAACACTGTCAGAAAAGCAGAAGGCGCTTATGTACGCATACGCAGAAATAGAAGAAGATACGCCTGGTCAAATACATGGAGTTTCATACGACAGAGATGGTAAGATGAAATGAATAAACAGAACTTAAAGACTTCAGTAGATGCTGATTTATAAACTAGTTTGTAACAAGATGACAATTGAGAAACAATACTACAAATGCATCTCTTATAACCTGTTTAAATTATAGAAGTATAAAAAAATCGTATTTTGACATTTATATGTTTATGATTTTAGGTTTTAACAAACTCGTATAATGAACTAAAAATTACTTAAATGAACGTTTTTGATCTGAATTCTAAATTAAGTATTGCATTATATGCAGAAGGTATCTTAAAGTAATATAGATAGAAGCTATATTATATTGAAATTGGCCGAATTTTTTATGAATCATGTTAGAAAAAACTGTACATTTATTTTACAGAAAAATCAAATAATAGCAGTAAAACAAACGAAACGGACAGTAAGGAAAAAATACACCAGTTGAATCGCGATACAGATGAAAGTACTCGCGACAATAATAAATCTTGGACGTTTTTCGAAAGCATATTAAATTCGTATAGGAATAACAAACCGGCTTTTCTAGTAGGATTCGGCATGTCAGTTATAATATGTATGTTTGCCATAATGAATGAACCCACAGACAAATATGGAGTGAATGATTATCTGAGAGATATGGATAAAAGAATGGGTGGGGGGGAATTTGATAAGCCTCTAGGATACGAAAGGACATTAGACCGTCAAAAGAAAGAAAATCCAGAATTGTATGAGGCGTAAATAGTCAAGTAACTTTTTAAATCAGTTGCATAGCAATAATTCGAAAAAATTCTGTCTCTTAACTAGTAATTTATTATTTAAGGTACTACAATTTTATTTGCATTCCCTGCTATAGGGCGTACTATTAGTTACATAGTATATTAGCTTCCGGGCCGGCTTGGCACGGGTGTACATGTATTATAAATATAAACCTTCCTCTTGAATTACTCCTTCCTCTTATTATCTACTACTAAAAACTGCATTAAAATCCATGCGTAGTTTAATCAATCTATCGAACAGACAGCGGAAGCCAATTCATTTTATACTATATAAAGATATGTTTAGTTTATACTAAAATATCTTCACTGCTTGTAAGTATTTATTTAGGTGCTAAGGTAGTTCAAATTTATCACATATAGTACTTACAATAGTATACAGTGACCAAAGCGGCAACATGATTTTTTATAGGCCAATTTACACAAAACAGTACTATACAGTATTTGAATTCTTAAGGATATTAAGTTTGAATTTGAGAAATTTTTGATTGGACATAAAATTCCTCTATTAACATAATTGATATTACGCCTACCTAATACGCACATAGAATGCAAATAATTTGTTAGTACCGTAAACGCATTGTTACGTTTTCCAAATGTCTAACATTAAAAAGTGATGATGGTGAAATGAATTCCAAAGTAAAGTCACCAATAAAAGACTCAAAAGTAAGACTTTTGACGTTGATTTATTATGATTAAACTGTGGTTTAAAATGATATTAAATATTACATAGTTATGCTTAAATCACGACAGGTCTTGGTAATTCACTGTTTTTGCATAATATAGATATTATTACATCATAGTTTTTGTGATATTAGTGTTGGTTGCAATTTACCTGTAGGTAACTGTAACTAGAAGTGCAATACAAGGTTACGGGCCGTAAGCTTGCATTTCTAGTTACATAAAAAAACATCTTTTTGTCTTAATTATTGGTCTACATAGTCAAGTTATGTAAATGTGATCCATGTATTGTTGTACGAACGATTAATGCTTTTTTTATTTCTCCTCTCGGAGTCGTCTTATCTACATAAATATATAAACATATTTTTAAAATTATAACGTTTTATAATTAACGGTACGAGAAAAAGGTTATCTATGTATGTTTACATATTGTATTCTAATTTCTAGTCGTACATTACCCTCTTGACAATTATCCAATTGCCATATCGACCTGTCGTGTGCTGTTAGCAATAAAATATTGTTATCAAGAGCATTAAAACAAAAAAAAAATGCTTATTTGTGTATATTAAATTTGTTTTGTATTTATCAGCGTGTCTGGTTTACAGTTGTTCCCTATAGTATCAATAAAATAAGAGACTGTTTACGAAGATACTCTCCGAATAACTTATATAATAACGTAGAAATGTTTACGAATTAAAATTATCACAAGCGAGTGATATTATCGTTTGAATATATTCGCGAAAGTTCGTTTATTATTCGTATATCTGTTTATACGATTAATTAACACAATACAACGGTCAGTAAATAATATTCGCAGTTGATGTATTCTATCTCTTTCTTTCGTATTAAATCTGGATGCCTATCCTTGATTATGATTTTTGATGATGCGACTATCAGTCAACTTTCAAAAGTTTTTTTTTAGTGAATAGATTTCAGTGACGACGATTATGATGATGAATGAATATCTAGTATGATTATTTAAAGTATTGCTATGGCAAACATGAAACACTAAATGACACGTTAGTAATGTAATAAGATCATTATTGGACTATAATTGAATATAAAGATTGAATAAATAAATAATTAGAAAAGTATTTCGCAACTTTAAATAGATAATATTAGTTTTTTAGAATTCTACACTGACTTTTCTATGATTAATAACTAAGTTCCCTGCCACAGGAATTTTAAAAATGAATAATATAGATTATTTTAAATATTAGTAGAGAAAAAACTGGAAGAGCAGGACTTGGGAGAGGCCTATGTCCAGCTGTGGACTGCAGTGGGCTGATGATGATGATGATGATTAGTAGAGAATTCAGAAGTTCAGACCTAGGAACGAAGGACACACACTTGATATGAAAGAAAGAGACGGAACATAATAGTTTAATAGAGGTGACGTTTTTACGAATAACTACTTACGTTTAAAAATATCTGTCACAAAACAACACTATCAGTTATTTATATAATGAACATTAATGCGATTTTGTGACTATATTTATGAATTTGGATTGAGAGTATGGAGTGAATAGCAGTGGCGTAGTGAATGAGTTTATCATATTAAGGGATATAGTATGATGGTTATATTTGTTGAAAATGTATAATAGTGATTTTATGAATATATTGAATTCGATGCTATTTGGTTGTTTCATTTAAATCCTGTAGCAGAGCCTTACACCATCATGCTATACACCTCTAACAAGTTACAACCTATGCGTATAGAGAAAAGGTTATGAGTATAGTAGTCTGTATTTTGTATGTTTTTTTTATTAAGGGGTTTGGGATATTATTCGGTGCTACAGAGGTCTGTAGCATTGCAACCTGCATAGGATAATGCACTCGCGCTTTTCCTTTCATTCGTCCGTCAGGGATAATAATTGAAGGAAAAGAATTCTTAGGAGCTATAATTCTTATCTTTTCAGTAATAGAGTGGATACATTCCAAAGGAGAAATTTTGTTTATGCATGAGAGGGCTACAACCATATGGGATGTGTAGGACATTTCCTCTTACATTTGGTAAAATCGGCAAAACTTTAGTTAACGTTACTGAATGAATTTTAAAGCACTGTTAGGCGTGTAGATGTGAGAACTACCTACTGTCCTTTACTTTATCGACGGTTATCTGTGGTGGGGTAGACAGATATTATTGACTTTTGCTGTTCGTTATCACCGTTTCTTGAATTAATTTTGTTTTGTTATCATTGGTTCCATCACCGTCTTTCTAAAAGAAACAGTAATTAACCTACAAAGATTTTTCGCGTCAACGAGATTCAAACTCGCTACCTTTAGATTTTTGGACAGTAAACTAAGCCCTAATGCAAGTGTAGTTATAATAAATACAGGAATAATGTTTTGTTTATTTTGTAGGAGATACAATATAATCTTACCTAAGAAGTTCTGATGTTAATGTGAGTTGCATTCACGTATCTAGTATTGTAATTGGCGTATTAGGACCATTTAGATCTTGTGTTCTTATGGAGTGTGGAACGTCTGTAATGGTTGTCATACAAAATTATGACGTATTACGTATATGTAGAGTAACTATTTGTTAGATTAATTACATTAGTAAAGTGTAACGCAAAAAATATTACAGAGCACACTAAATATGATATTCAATATGATAGTGTTTGGGAAATTGAACAACTTTTCTCGAGGGATAAAGATTGAAATATAAGATTTTTTTGTATGCCGATTCAGAATCTGTTATATATGTCATACGGAATCCGGTTTATCTATTTCTAAAAAGAAAGGTTTCAACCTTATTATGCATACGCCACCCTACCTACCCTACCACATATTAGGTTTGCATTTGCAATATATACATATAAGTATCTATGTATATCAGTTCTAAGCATAAGCATAACTAGAACATAAGCTATGCTTAGTTTGGAACTAGATGGTGCTGTATCATTTGTCCTGGATTATTATATATATATGCATTAAATAAAATTTGGGGCTAGTCAATTCGAAATCGTACAATTTTATTTATACAGCATGGTTTCTTTTGTATCACGTCTTTATTCATTGAGGAAAGTTGTATCTAATTTCATAAACATTGTCACTGGACTTTTACACCATGTATAGTTATTATTTTATTAGTTTGAAATATTCACAGGCAACAAAATATCAATATCGGATCCTCAAAACCTAGTGGACGCTGTGAAGGAAGCTTTGAAAGACAAGAAATCTATAGAAGGTAACACCACTGATACACCCGAGGACGACGTATTGAAAGAATCTAAACGAAGCAAAGGTTAAATAGATAAATATTATATAAAAAATAGGGTTTTCAATATTCATTTATGCTAGCGTTAAATAATTCCAATTTGTACTGCAATTGGCTAGGGCTGACAAATTTAAAAACCATTATATTTTGTTATTGTTTCTTTTTAATTCCATATATTTTTTTTCTAATATCAACAATATAAATAGATTTACATAGACCGCTGTGATAAAGTTTTATTTATCCAAAGTTAGGTTTTAGAAACGTTTTCTAAAAACGTTAATTTTATTCTAATTCATATGAATGAATTCATAGTAGGTAGCTATATAAATTACATTTACACAATATAAAAGGAGTAATTTGACTATAAAGTAAACATGATAGTTATTCCTATGTACAATCTTCCATCTCTGTCATTCAATCTCCTTTTCCCGCCCGTATTTTACACGGTTATATAGGCATCCTATTAAATTGTGAATATTATTCATAAAGACTCGAATCTCTAATAAATCTATTAGACTTTTGTTTCAATCTTTCAAATTGAGAGTTTAGCATGAGAGAAAGAGACATCGTTATGATTAAAATAGGTTTATAGGTTCTGAAGTTTTTATGAATAACGCTATGTTACATAAATTTGTTTTAGTGTTTTGTTTTTATAAACTTCGCACAAAATTGAAATAATCTATACTTTTCGTATTGATTGCAATCAGTACGGAGCTGTACATAGGCGTTGACTAGTTTGTAGGAAAATAAAATATCACACCTATGAGAAATCGTTTTATTTTGTACAACCTTTTGAGTCCAAAGCTTTTGCATAGATACAATCGTAAAACGCAATGGTGTTTACGCGGTGTAAATAAATAGGTAGCAAATAGTAATAATAATTAGTGCTCTCCCATTGGTCAAAATACGACCATAATTAATTTAAATTTGATTTTTAAACATTATAAAGGTTCTATTTTCAAAAAACACGTATTAATATATATATTATTTTGAGCACAGAAACAAACCTCGATTCGCTAATTGATTTTATTCGGACTGAACGACTGTACTATGACGTCATACCGTCACACAAGTCCGCATCGCACGTTTACTTAACTAAAAAATAGTTTATTTTAAACTAAGTGTTCGAAATTTCATACTCCGTTCGCGAAATTTCGTAAAAAGGGTTACAAAGTATTAATATGTAGATAATAGTTATTGTATGATATGGCATAACATTGCAGTGCTTGTAACACAGATGGACGTCGATGATTATAGGATAGGGAGGATTATAGGATATACAATGCTGTGGGGTATTAGTGTAGCAAAAGCAGTTTACAGCTGTGTTCCATTTTCAAAGGAATATTACAGTGATATGATTCAATACAGAGGCTTAATCCTCAGGAATTGCAGTGCTCGAGTCCCACGGGCTTCAATGTGTTTTGTTCCGTAGAGGTAGATACCTAGATGACTATCAAATACGACGTTGTCGACTGCTAATATAGTTTGTATAATTCCAGCTTTAATAAACAATTTACTATGTATTTGTACACTATAATAATATAGCATCATTAGGTAAATGTAAAGAATTCTTTGGGAGTCTGTTTTTTTATTCAGTTTGCTCAGAAATATGAATTTTATACTTATTAGGCCTACTATGGTATCTATCATTCGCTATCAACTTAGTATACCCATATTTAAAAAAAATGTATTAGTAATAATTAATTTTAAATGCCAGTACAAAGGTTCTGAATGATGATCTATATCCTTAGGATGAGTTTAAGATGCAACATCCATTTAGGTTTTTAATTCTATTGAAAACCACAACCGAATAGGTTAGAAACTCGTAGAGATACGTTTTTGCCTTAAAAATGACCCTTAGTCATGTTAAAAAATAAAAATTGAAGATTGCCTATTGCCGCTAAGCTGATTTGTAAGTTGTTTAACTTCGACTTAAAATTCAGTTTACATTCTAGTCGTACCACGAGTATCACTCTCCATCTGTTGTATTTTACTACTTATATTTATTTATAAAATAAATAAAAAGCAGACATATAAAATAATACAATTAAAATGATAAATGTTGAAAATTAGAAAAATCGTTATATTATCACGCCGTCAATAAAAAAAAATTGAGGTATATAATTAAGTGTATTATAGCATAGCACCTTCAACACCATCATTTTCCGTCATTCTAGTTAGTTAGGTATATAAAAAAAAATACGAAAATTCGGTCAGTAGTTTTTGCGTGAATTACTCTTTCACGCAAAAACTACTGATCGAATTTTGATGAAAGTTTAAAGTAATATTACTCTAAAGTTTCATAGAGTAACATTCTGATGTATAAGCTATAGGTTTACATCACAGACTATAAATTTACCGCGGGTACAGCTAGTTATTATTATTTAAACAAACGAAGTAAGTTTGGCATTTAATAAGTCGCTTAATTAATGCGAATCTTACTTTATAACAAGTGTAAATAGTATAGTTGAATGTTGTATAACAATAGTTATTACGTCTCCATACTCTGTAAATTCACTGTCTTACCTATCTTACCTACTATCCAAACCAAAATAAGGCAACACCATCATTTCCCGTCATTCTTGTTAGTTAGGTACATAAAAAAAACTACGAATTGAAAAGCGTACAAAGCATTTTTATTGTCAGACTATTTCTCAGTTGTAGCGAAAAGTCGGTAGTGTTCCGCTATAGAATTGGTAGCTTCGCTGCTGTTCCGGCGCAGGGTGGCCAGTGCGCATGCAAGCAGCGACATGGCGCCCTCTACGTACAGACCATACAGGATCCTAACATGACTTTTTACCTAAAATATAAGAACTAATTAGAATAATAATAATTATAATCTTAGGACAGCGTACAGACACACAGCGCCATTTAGACTCAAGTTAAGCTAGCTAAAGCTTGTGTTATGGATACTAGATAACTGATACGTATTTATTTTCTATGTAAAAATATATGTTTATGTATTTTTACATAGAAAATAAATAGGTATGTAGTAGTAGAAAACACTCAGAATAACACACAATCATACTCGTGAATGCAAATGTTTGTGCCCTGCGAGGAATCGAAGCCGCGACCATCGGAAGTAAGGAGGTGTGCTATTTTTAGTTATGGATTATAATCAAATCATCCCTGCGCTATTGGTATATGTTGGCGGGGCAGAGGATAAGTGAAGGATGATATAATATTATGAGCATGAGTCTATACAATTTAGTTAGTCCATAGACACACAACAGAATGAAACCACGATTGTTTCCAAGGGGATCTGCGTGGAGATACACCAGACATTGGTGTAGCACGCTATGCGTGCACTAGTGATTAACTATGTAGCTAGCAATTGCGTTACTAGTCCAGAATACTAACAGTTCTCTTCCCAGCAGTGTTACTTATATTTTTATTGTATTAGATGATAATGAAATGGTGCACCCGCTTACGCATACGGACGATTTACGATAACAGTTTACACTGGCAGAGCACCAGCGGAGGATGACAAGAACATGAGGCCAGGTCAGTTAGCCCATCGTGAGAAGTTCACCAGGAATTTATAACGATGGTTTCCAGGGGGAACCGCCTGGAGGTCAATGAATCAATCAAAATATCTTTATTCATGTAGGTCTATTAGGCTCTTACGATATGGCAAATCTACCGTCAGTTCGGAATGCTTTTGAGCCGAGAAGAACTGACGAGAAACTCAGCTCTGTCAACCTGACCTGACATTACTAACAACCTCCATCCAGACTTACTAAATTACACTATGGTAGTAAATTAAAGAAAGCTATGCCTTACTTGTTCCAAGCCTCCACTGGTGGTAAATTCAAGCGGGAACAAGGCAACTTCGGGTCCTGTTTTCCCGCGCATTAAGCCAAACGCAACGGCACCACTTGTGTAATATAAAATGGCCGCAAGAGGCACGCAGCGACCCGCAAACAACACGTTGAGTAAACTCTGCATGCATAATAAATAAAGATAAAATTTATGTTTATGCTTCTGTTTAGGGTTGTCAAAAACGCAAAGTTTAAAGTTGAGGCGCAATAAGGTAAAATGATTAGAAATTGTACAAAATACTCCAGTTATCGACATATTGCATATCTAATTGCTCAATTCTATAATAATATGGTCAATAAACACCTTGATTTATTTTAAAAAATCTTACTTAAGCATTTTAAGGATATGCACATAGGTATTTATTAATTCATGATGCACTTCAAAGTCGACACTAATAATTTTACACTGATTAGCGCAAAATTTGGGATTCCAATTCTCCAGTACCATTTCATGTATTTAAAATTTGTTTGAACATTTAATATGCTATTTTGTTTTCATAGTCAACAATTTTTTAAGGTTCCTAACAATTTAATTTGTTTTAAAGTAATATTATTCCAGATAGTTTTAATTCGGTCAAAGTAACTATATATAGCTAACAGTAATACTTAAGAAAAAAATGTATGTCTCAATATTTCCTAGGCGTCTCATGTTGCGTAAAAATGAACATGTACAGAGTGTAATGTAATGTTATATTTTTCCTATTATACGATACTAATACCACAGATAACATAGTATTACATACTATTACTGTACTAACCCTACAGAACTGTACCTACCTGTATTCTATGCATAGTCCATCAAATAAACATTGTGTCTTTTATCTTAGGAAAACCATGAAATATTATAAGTACATTTTGAACTGTCGTCTCTTGCTATTTGTGCAAAAAATGAAGAATAAATGTTTCTGGTTTATTTATTTATTAAAAAAAATATTGTCGTGTCTAAAAACTAAAGATTATATTATATAATACTGCCCATTTCCAATAATTTACATTAATTATTAAAATCTAATTTAGAAACTGCAAATAGAGCCCGTCATTGTAAAGCACAAAAACACGATTTCACATTTGTAATAAAGGTTGTATTACCTAAATGTGAAATCGAAATGATATAGAACAACGAGTATAATAACTAGAAATTAAAAAATAATGAATCAGAAGTTATCACCCCCCCTCCTGGACAAACCTGTTTAGTCCTATTTCACTATCTTACTAATATTATAACAGTTTGAGACTATGATTGCATAGATGGATGGATGGATGCATGTTACTCTTTTACGCAAAAACTACTGACCAAATTTTGATGAAAGTTTAAAGTAATATATTACTCTAAAGTTTCATAGAGTAACATTCTGATGTATAAGCTATAGTTTTACATCACAGACTATAAATTTACTGCGGGTACAGCTAGTTATTATTATTTAAACAAACGAAGTAAGTTTGGCATTTATAAGTCGCTTAATTAATGCCAATCTTACTTTATAACAAGTGTAAATAGTCTTATTGAATGTTGTATAACAACAGTTATTACGTCTCCATACTCTGTAATTTCACTGTCATATCTTACCTACTATCCAAACCAAAATAAAGCATACAAACCAAGTTGTTTGGCAACTGAAATAGATAAAACAGGAACCCACGCAAACAACTGACAACTTTGTACAAAGTGAGTACATCGGTTTGATACTTACAGTTATTTTGTAACACATCGTTTTGTTACTACATCTTATAATCCCAGAATTTCCGCCGCAGTTCGAGGTATCTGTAACCACAAATATAACATTTGTATTATTTCTGAAAGTTAAAAATATTATGAAAATAATACAACCAATGGGGATTTATTCAGGGATTGGGTATTGGGAACACCATTTCTAACACCTAATAAGGGCGAGGGTAGCAGTCTCCATGACGTCATAGGGGACTATAAATAAGAAAATATATCTAATATATCTATCTATCGTTCTATCGAAATATGTCTATCCGTTTGAGGTCGTGAAAATATAACGTTCACGACTCAAAGGAACTTAATAAAATTGTTGAAAATAGATTGTATCACGGGGACATACATAAGCTCTCTTTTAACTAAAAAAACAGTCGAAGTTATGTGTAATAGTCTGTTCCCACATATATATTAGTAATACCACAGATAGGCAAATATTACATGTAATACTAACCAAGTTTATATTTTCATTCAATAATAGGCTAAATAGTTGTAAAATAAACGTCATTTACGTTATCAACTCTCTCTTTATAGGTTAGGCACGTCAATTATCGCAGCTTAACGTGTGGTTATTGCGTAGTTGCTTGTTCCGTGATTGTGTAGCGCCTGTTAATCCCCGCCGGATTGTCTTTAATTGCCGTATTGTATTGTTTAGGGTCGGACTTGTGTTTCCTAATGTACTATTATATAGATCCAGAATTAGGTAAACATTCTCGATCTACGGTCTATTGGTATATGTACAGTTATATAAGCCTAGTCATGTTAAACATACGGCCCGCGGGTTGCATGCGGCTCCTGGGCTCTATCAATAATGCCCGCAGTCGCGCGATGATTTCTAACAACAGTATATTCTATGTATTATATATTTACAAATAAATAAAGTATTGTAATAATTCAGTACATTTTTTATTTGAAACTGGCCTGCATACACATTTTAAATTTAATATATGTGCAAAATTTAGTTTGGCACGTCTCGGCTAGCCCATGCATGACTTCTTAACTTTTATACATCAAGGAAGTCTTTATTATATTTTGATGTTTAGTTCTTTGAAATGACAACATATGAGTGGTATCGCAAGTGTCATATGATAAAATGGTGCTGTTCAGGTATATAGGCGACATAACTTTGGCTGGAATATGGTGAGCGAGATTGGATAGTGGTAGGCATCTGTCGGATGCCATCATCTGGTAATAATAATTGTATAAAAGAACTATCTGATTAAGGATATATTTAGGTCCCAAGAAATAGTCCCTAGACTGTTTGGTCTGTCAAGCCTACTTTCTACTGTTACATTTTCTACTAATTGTATCCGCGGTTTTGTAGCCTACCCGTGTGAAATTTATAGCCTACCTACATTTTATTCGGATGTATATACTATATTACTGTAAAGTTTCATCAAAATCCGTTTAGTACTTTTTGCGTGAAAGAGTAATAAATATCCATCCATACTCACAAACTCTCGCATTCATGCTAATTATTGACTATATTCGGCATTTTTTAAAACATAAAACTCTACAAACACATTTTTCAAAATTAAACTCGAAACGTATGTACAATGTACATACCTTCACTGTTTACTGTCTTCTTTCTATCAAATCTTCGAGAACGTCGAATGAATTGATCAACATTATGCACAACACACGTACTAGCATTAACCACTGCAATGTAAATAAAAAAAGGACGTACAGAAGTATCTACAAATATAAACAAATACATTTGACTCTGCCTTTTTGATGTCACTTAAACCCTCTACTTAATGTCTATTTTTTTAATCCAGATTATAACCTGATGTATCTTGTGCTAATGGTGTATGCTGGCATTAATAGAGGATGATAAGATTAGGATGAAGTCAAGTTAGAGAGCCCATCTTGTCACATCACGAAATGGTCACAAAGTTTCCCAGAGCAGAATCCGTGGCAGAAGAAGTTTCTAATACAAATGGTTCTGAAACACCTATTATCAAGGATAAATCAAGGATGATGAGACTTGCTATGATCTGTAGATAAACTTACTTAGGTATATGTGTGTAGGTACAGCTAAGACAGCATACACTAGGGCCGAAGAGCGCCCCCACAGCGTCTGAGGAACAGGTGCACCAAACCCTAAACAGAGAATGTATTTTGTATTTGTACATATATATATTATTTTTGTATGTATATTGATAGGTAGATGTATATTTGTATTGTCGTTTTAAAGTCGAAGTACACCTGATTGTAAGCAGTAATCGCTATGTACATGTATAGCACGGACACCATATCATCATGTGACATCCGCGATATCATTTCTGCGTTGCCATTTCAGGGAACTAAGACGTTATGCCTCTTATCCTGTAATTTCACTGACTGATATCACTATACAATGATAAAACTGCTTACAAAGCTAGCTGCTTGGCGACTGAAATAGGAGAGACGGAAGTATTACGCAGACGATTTATTACAGTCCAATTTGTATACAGTTTCAATTTCATCAGTTCTGAAAAACGCATCAAAATCGGTCCATTCGTTTAGGAGATATGAAGCTACGAATACACATACGTCAAACTTATAACCCTCCGCTTTTTTCGTAGGGGTTAAAAATAACGCTTAAAACAAGTCTGCTAGTTTCTTTGCGCCTTAGAAAAATAAAATCTCTCACCTTAAAATAGCCTTTGTCTAATTTTAGAAACAGCTCGGATTATGAGAGTGTTGGTGCGAAATTAGAATTTATTCAGGTCACTGAAGCGGCGATTTCGTAGCTAAGTCTACGCCGTAGACACTAAACCTTCCAACATTTACTATAGGAATGTTTCTATGTATAGCGATACGTTTTGTGCGCTATTAACCTCTATTCAGTCGCTAGGGAATTTTAGCCTAAATTTAAGAGCAGAACTGCAATATCTGACGTATTTTGCAACTGAAATAGACTTTGTAAAAAGTCATCTACGTGGGTACCTAAGTCTTATCTATTTTAGCCATTAAGCAGCTTGCTTTAAAAATTAATAATAAGCCTGGACGATTAATAAAGCGCCATCTAGCCTCAAGCTAAGAAGAACTTGTGTTATGGATATCAGGTAACGAATAGATTACTTTGAAACAATTTGCGTTTATGCTATGAAGTTTGCCGTGAAATAAATAAGGGGTTCTATAGTGTATTATATTTATTTCACGGAATACACGGAATGTATATTCCGTCATCCATAATCCGGTAGGAATTTCTAATTAAAAAACAAAAGTAATTAATCAAGATTGAGAAAGAAATAATATAATAATAATCCTGGAAAATCCACACAGCGCCATGTAGTCTCGAGCTAAACAGAGCTTGAGTTATGGAGACCAGACAACTGATAGAATACTTAGATTATGTATTTTATAAAAACACCAAGACACACACTAACATGATAATCATACTCATAAATACAAATGTTTGCATTATGCAAGGAATCGAACCTGAGACCAACGGAATTAAGGCGATATACTAAACTGCTAGACCACTGAGTCCGTCAGTCGTTATTGCTTTGTATGATTCTTCTTTATATGATTTCGGTTGAACGGTAAGACTGTGATAAGTACTGTGGTATGACATTTTAGTGCCTTGAAATGGCAATGCTGGTAAATCTACATAGTTTAGTATCGCGAATGTTCAATGTAACAAAATATCAGTTCATATACATATATTGGCCATAGTTATAACTTACCATCATGTGTCAGTTTGAGTCTCATAAAAAACGAATTACATAAAAAATAATACGGGAAAAAACGTATAGATCTTGATTTTGCAAACATTCTTATTTTATTGTATTCTAACGTTTATATTTATTATTTACTTTCTATTAAAGGTCAAGCTATTTCTTAATATAGAAATGTCATTACATAGAACAAATAACAATCATAAAGCTATCGGGCTTTCGGGTTGCTTGACGGAATTCAATCAGTTTTTTTATTATATTCTATCATATAAGAGACAGTTGTTATAATCGTAGAGTTGGTATCAATTTAATAATTTGGTTATTTATTCAATAATTGAACAGTAAACTGTACCTTATGTAGTAATAATATAAATTCTAATTGATTGTATTTTGAGGTAAGCTTACGACTGTTTATAAACTCACGAATATCAAAGTGTCATCTCATTAGTTTAGATTAGTTTGACAATAGAGTAGATTACAATTGTAGGTTCGATTTCTCGCACGGGGCTAACATTTGTATTCATGAGTACGATTGTTTGTATGTCTTTACCAGACACCCATACTAGTATCTTCTAAGTATAATAAATATATATTCAAAAAAACAGTATTTATAAGTTTAATTATAGTCAGCTATAGTCAGTTGTTTAGTATTCCTAACACAAGCTCTATTTATTAGTATTTATATCAGTTGTCCAGTACTCATAACACAAGCCCTGCTTAGGTTGGGAATAGATGGCGCTGTGTGAATTGTCTAGGGTTGTTATATTATTTCGGTGGACTAAGATATCATGCCTCCCTACGTTATAATTTCCCTGCTCTATCTCACTTCTCAACATAAACACAGTTTACAAGTAGCCGCACTGCATGCACGCACAGTCCTTTATACAAAGTCTACCTCGGTAACTATACAGAATATTCACATTAAAGATTATTATTAATCATTATATTATTGAAATACCTAAGTATAAGTATTTTTTTTCTCTAATTCCTTCTTGCATTAGAGAAAAAAAGACAGAAAGTGGTAGACACTTTCTGTCTTTTTTTCTCTACTCAAAGGTTGTCTGGAAGAGATTGTTTATACGACGTGATCGACTTTTGTACCTTATAATTCTGCTTATGTTATTTGTAAATTACTTCTGGTGCAATAAAGAGTAAATAAATAAATATAATATTATTTATTTACGCTTCATTGTATATATTCTAGGAACGAACCCAACGCAGTCATGACGTATACGGTGAACAGGAAAGTTCCAGACAAGTTCCAGAACTGGCCTGGATGCAGTTTGGCGCCTCGGTCCACCGCCTGCATAGTCAGACGTCTCTCGTCCTCTATTCGTATCTCTATTGCGTTCTTCCATTTTGGAGACAATGGAGTTATCTGAAACCAAATACATAACTTTTTTATGTCATTGCAATAGCACAGAAGGTGACGGCCCACCATATGATAAGAGGTAACCGTCTCTGAAATACTTGACCGGCACTATGGACGTGACGTCATTATGTGATGCCTGTGTTAATGCTCATATATTTATTTATATATTCTTTATTGTTTTTGTTTGCATTCTCCACCAGCTAACCTTTAATTTTAAATAGAAAGCGTTGAGTAGGCAGTATTGGCAATAACAGTCACAAAGTAAAATTCGTCTATGTTTTTAATGGTCATATTTATCTATCTATACATTATATACATATATCTATACATTGATATGATACTTTGTACCGCTTTTTAGGAAAATTACGAAATCACACACTTCTAATGTGAGTACGAAAAAGAAAAAGGAGTGCAGAATGCTAACATTTTTTTTAACTATACATAATATAATACCTACACATTAAAACAATAAAAAAACACACACATTACCATGTATTAGACACACATGCGCAAATATATTTTTTGTTTATTAATATAGTCTGTGGTCGAATTGAGAATAAATTAACATTGTGCCATTTTAGTTACATTTTTTATTATAAGAATATCTAGTCTTACTAAATGTTAAATTAATATATATAAAAGCCAGTCCGCAGTATGTATAAAGGAACGTATCTACTACACCACTATTCCTAACCAAAAATGCGGGTTGCGGCATTAGTAATACGATTACTAACTGATATTTAATCCCGCATAAGTCGGTTGCGAGCCGGCAATAACAAAACCGCCTTGATTAATTGCCTTAAGCAACATTTCGGGGGAAATTAATTCAAGAGGGAACGCTTTCTACGCCATTAGTTAGCTCATTGCCTAGCTAAGATACCATTTTCTATCGCGTTACACACGGATAAATAAGTACACTGGCGGACAAAAGTTTGGTTTTCTGTTATTTCTTGGAGGGTGGGAAGTTATCTTTTTTCCTGTGACCTATATTTATCTCGGTTGCCGATTGTATGCGACATTCAATTATTCTGATATTATAATTTATAAAGTAAGTTGTAAAATAAATACGCCCGTATAAAGCAAAATGGACTCGTTTTGTTTTCCGGAAAACCTTATGAAATACCTTGCGTGGTTCAGAAGTAAATGGACAAACAGACCGACGAAAACAGTGATTTACCTTTACATATGCTATTTATAAATTTAAGATTTTATTGTTAGAAAAGGAACAGACTGAATTTGTGTAAATTGGAATTGGAAGAAATTTGAAGAAATATTAATTATTAACTTATAAAACAATTCAACGGCCTCGGTGGTCTAGCGGTTTAGCACACCGCCTTACTTCCGATGGTCGCGGGTTTGATTCCTCGCACGGCACAAACATTTGTAATCATGAGTATGGTTGTTTGTATCGGTCTGGGTATTTTCTATGTATAATATGTATGTATTTACGAAAAAAAAACCATATCTATGTATTTGTATCAGTTGTCTAGTACCCATAATACAAGCTTTAGTTAGCTTAACTTGGGTCTAGATGGCACTGTGTGAATTGTCCTGAAATTATTTATTTCTTTATTTATTTATAATTATGATAACCTATAATAGAATATGGTAATGCATTCTTTTATTTTTGCAGTAGTGTATAGTATGCTTTGAAATACCATATTCTTTTTACCGTTAGCATTTTTTATTAAAATGTAATAATAATTTTTTTATCTAGTTTAAAAATATTTTCCATACTGCCCAATTATTTTAAACTCAAGTGTTTTCGTTAGTACACATCGGGCCATTAGGCAGGTGTTGTCAAGTGCAATTGCGTGGTTGACCTTCCATGTTAGTGTCATGTTCACGTTGACCTCTAGGGTCCTGTCCGTACATTTCCATTATAGGTATTCTGATTTTTCCTCAATGTAGTATGTAGTAGAGTACAGAGTAATGATAATATAGCAATTTTTCGTACTTATTTTATAACCTTATTTCGAATTAATCTCTAATTCTAATTTACATTATACTATAAATGAGACCACTTTTTTATGTATATATATTCTAATGCTGTTGTATGCAGCTGGTCGTTATAGCTTCACTGGGCGAGTGCAGATAGCACTCCAAACCAAAGGAAGACTTATGGAGCGGTTGAAGGTTAACTCCTGCTTAATGGACACAACTTTAGTCTGAGGGCACTGCTAGTGGTTCGTACGAACCCCGGCTCAGACCGTCGTAAGGACGGGCGAAATGCGACCGTGTGTCTGTCTATGTATCACATTTTCACAACTAAGGCTAAACGAAAATTAATAAAATTTTACTTAAAACGAGAATGAATGAATAGTTTATTATTGTTCTTCTCAGAGAAAATAAAGTGATACAAAATATGTTAAATTAATATGTACAAATGATAAAAAAATAGATTTTATTACTATGAACCAGACATTGAGACATATAATCTGGTAGGAGTTATAAAATCACATTCTTTTGCTTTAATTAAGTCGGATTTAGTTATTTCAAATTATGATTTGAACGTTGAAATTTAGATATAACGACGTGCCATAACAAAAATGGCGTCAGAATTTCGCAAGATAGAGCGGGAAATACAAAAATTCTTCGCATGTTTACATTTAGGGGAGACTGCAAATATAATAACATAAGGTCAACAGGAAAATGATAACAAGTACCTACATTCTACTCAGAAGCAGAATGAATTATAATTTTGTGAAAGCGAGAAACCCAATGACTGCTTTCTTCCTATTTTTATATGGTACATTTTAAATTAACACAGGATTGTGCACAAATTGCCTATTATAAGAAAGTCGTGGCTTAGTGTTTTACTTTACTACACCCAAGAACTCGTGAGTTCAGATCTGGCCGGCATATAAAAAATATTTTACTGAACAAAACAACAATATTAAGCAAAAAAAAAAATAATTAGGCAAAACGACAATATATTTGTTCCCTAACACATTGGATTAAAAAGTGCCATTCGAAATGTATTGCGTTGACCATAACATCGACAGTTGACAATGTCACTGACTGATGAGGTCATTTAGGATAACAGTCGTGGTGGTATGTTTTGTTATGTTTGTAAATACATATTTTGCAATGCTGCTCTCGTAAATTTGTGTAAAAGTTCCTATTTTATGTGTAAATCCAATATACTAAATATCATGTATCAATGTACTAAATTTCACCTGAATTATTACAGCAGTTATTGCGTGAAAGAGTAGCAAACCTTGCAAAGCCGTGAAAAAATGTGACTTGAAACTTGAAACATGCTAATAGTTAAAATAAAATTGGACAGAACAGACTGCGAAAAAGCTGGTTGAGGAAGATGGATGAGAAAATTCGTAGTACGAAAGATCTCCGTTTTTTTTATACAACTTTGGTGGCAATCCAGCATACGGAACATCTGATGGTAAACAGTTACGGTAGGCTATGGACGCCTGAAACACCCGGTGCACGTTGCCGATCCTTAAACAACCTTAATATACCCTTCTTATCCTCATGTAGTACTCACTAGAGAAAACAATTATACGACTGATTGTATAGTTCTATCAGTTGTATATGTACTGTTAATAGATAGAGCGGGTTTCAATGCCAACAAACTGAAACTTATTAAGGATTACGGAGGGTACCTACCTCAATGTCAAGGGAAGCCGTCAAACGTAATTTTCTAAAGAAACTTCATTGAAAACGCTTATAAATAATAGGCTCCTTTAAATGGAAGTATATTTTGCTGCGGTAATCCTAAAAGGGTCTTAACGACTTCGAACATTAGGGCGAGGTTAAGTCCACCAATGAGAATTACAAGTTGAGAAACTGCGTTTAATCTTAATTGAGTTTTTCACTACAATAATATTTTCGTATTTTTATTTTTAAATACTTCTGGAAAATAAGTTTTTTTGTGACTCGAATGGTAAAGAAGCTGAACTGAAGTAGGACCATCACATGGTAAATTGAACCGTTGCCTATAGACATGAAGGGCACGATATTATGTCATCATGTGACCCCTTATACGTTGTAATTCCGGATGACTAAGAAGTTAGGCCTCTTTACAAAGTTTCTATTCAATTTGACTGATTCTGATTTATTAAAAAACATGTAATATTTTATAGTAAAATTATAAACGTGTTACAAAAGTGTTTAATTTATATTTTAACATGTCTTGCATTCTGTCATTCTGTTTTTATCTGATTTTCTTTCGATACTTGTTAAATATAATATTTTTCCTGGAAACCGTCTTTTTATAATATATTTTTTATTTACCAGCATAATAATTCAGAACCTTCGCTCACATGTACAAGTTTTTTCAATAACAAAAATATAGTCACTGCACATATGAACAATAAGAACAAATTGCAGTATTTGTCCACACTCACATATAAAATTGAGTTGAGTATTAAATTATGAACGGAATGATGCTTCATTGTGGCATTCATAAAATATATATTGTTTCAATGTATAAATGAATGTATGCTTTTAAATTATGAAACTCGTATAACTTTTTTCTGAGATAGACTTTTAGACTTTGGGATGTCTGTTTGTTGTATAAACTTCAGCTTTTCAGCTTACATATTTAAAAACATATTCCGTGAAAATTTCATCTCATTTCTTCCAGCCGTAAGGACTTGAAATCTTAATACACAAACAGAAGAAAGAAATGGCTATTTAGCGATAAGGCCGCCAACTTTTGTTTTTATATTTGATATACATATTAATTTATGTAACTGTTATTTACTTTCTGTGAGAGGATAGCGTTATAATATAAACAAGTTGAGCTTTTAACGTTAGAATATAGTGTTTATTCGTTTCATTTCCAGTAGACTAACAGGCAGTTATAGCTTTATTATTATTTACGATTTTATTATATGTAAAGACAAAGTAGATGTAAAGATTATGTTATAATTATAATGTATTCAGATTATGCAAAACACTAATAACATTTAAAAACAATACCGAAATAATTTCAAAGCCCTTGCCATCAAATTCTGGAGCAGGAAAATGAAGCGCTTACGTTC